GTCCCACCCTTAATCTTGTAAAAATAACCTCCTCTCTTATGTCCTTTCCTACCGTCCTTCCCTCCCCGACTTTCCTCTGTACCTGAAATAAATGCCTTCCCTTATTATCTCTATTCCACTGCTCCTGCCATCTCTGCACCATCACTGTATATATCAGTCTTTTTGCCTCTGCCTTGCTCATTGACACTTCAACATCAACATCCCCACTACTAAGTGCTTGTTTAGCCTGTTCATCTACTGCCTCGTTCCCCTCCACCACCACATGGGCTGGAACCCAAGTAAATCTTATCTGAATACCCATCTGTTTAATCCTGCCATGGGTTTGTAGCACCTCATAAAGCAGGTATTGTCTGCTATGTGAGCTAAAGGACTGGAGAATAATTAACACTGCACACGAATCAGAGCAAATAACTACTCTGTCTGGCTTAACTTCCTCCACCGACTCGCTTGAACGTTTGCTACGTTGCAGAACTATTTGCACTGAACGACACGTTTCCCCAAAAATGTTTTGTACATTCTTGAACAGACTTTGAGGTACGTTTTCTCCCATTTGGTGGGTGTGGCGAGGTGTGGCTTTAAGCAACGAGTGGCATATTTAAAGGGCAGTGGCCATGTTGACAGTGTTCCCCAACCCACAATCCAACCCCTCCCCGTTTTTCAACTGGTTGTTTAGTTCAGCACTGTTTCTGTTTAATTGAATGTTCCAGAACGTAAAAACGTACTGAACACAGCCCGGGACAAAGCGTTACAAAGTTTTCAGTCTGTGTCCTGTATGGCTTGACCAATGGTTGTTGAGCACACATGTGGGTAAGGGAATCGTAATAAAAACGTACACTGATGTGTTTTTTCATGAAAGAGGGAGGAGCTTACCAGTCTTCAAAATGCCACCTGAAACCAATCAAGAAAACTCATCAGATTGTGGTGTTTTCCCCCCAGAAGAGGAAGAGAATTGTTTCCTTGTGAGTGTTGTTCTGCGTACATAGACAGGTGAGTTTCAAAGGAATAATGGTGTGAACTATGCCGCACCATCACCATGTGGCATTCAAAAGGCCCTTCATTTCCTCTCAACTGAGTCAAACACAAATGGAACTCTTGACACATTTCTAGCACTTGCTTCCACGCATAGCCTATAGTTTGTGCTATGAGTTACATTACAACATAAGGACTGCACAATTTAGTTTTGTAAAACGTAACCATTTATTGCAACAATTGTTTATCAACCTGTGTTTGTGGTCACAGTTTTGCACAGTTTTGAGGGTGCGAGCGCGCTTCACTACATCTATTCTGTTGGTGACTGGTAAAATCAAAGATTGTCTTATTTTGACAAGATGGAGTGAATTCATGTCCTCAGAAATGGCAGGCAGGAGAAGGTGAGATCAGGTGGGGCCATTCTAGCCAATGAGGGCAGGCGCATGTGAACAACGGGTCATAGAGATAGATAGAGGACTCATCTTTGTATCTGTGCCATTAAAGGATCTGTGACATGTGCAGTACCATTGAGGCTGTCTCCACTTTAAAGTAGTCAATTTTTTTCTTCAATGGCTGATTGTTCCCAACATGTTTAACTGTGTCTGTTTGCATTTTGTCATGCGTGTATTGACTCGTCTCTGTGTAGCCTCAAACCTAGGCCTACCTGTTGATGATAATGGTTTAGCCTGTTTTGGGAGTGTAAATTCAGGTTATACTGTATATGCCAACTACCATTTATAACAAAACCTGTACTTTGAAGCTCTTGTTATAAGCATTTGTCAAATGTGAACTATGCTGCACCATCCCCACGTGGAATTCACAAGGCCTTTTAGTCTAATGCTGTGTTTGTAACGATGTGGGAGGTGGCAATATACCATTTTGTGAAGTCTCAACTACTAGTTGGATGCATTCACGTGCTTCGAACTCGTTGAGAAACACAGACCGGCTAATGGCCAACAAGCTACGTAAACCATAAACAAAAATTACAGCGATCATGCTTGTAAATAAGTTAGTGTTAAAGTATTCATGTCTTGTTTATATACATGTTTTTATGCTGCATTTAACTGCTTAAAAATGTAGTTATCAATGTAATTTCCTTCGTTGGTGTCGTCAGCATGTGGGAGCTCAGGATGAGACTAGTTTCCCACTAGTAATTACCAGTTGGAGGGCCACTGAAGTGGATTTAATGTTTTTCAACGTGTGTGGTAAATTTCCACTTACGTTACGAAAGAAGAATGATTTCCTTGCTACTGTCAAACACAAATGGAACTCTTGACAATCTGACGTTTGTAGCACTTGCACACACAGCCTATAGTTTGTGCTACAAGGTAGATTACAAAGAAGTTGTAAAACTTTGTTGTCCAGTAGTTTACTCCAATTAGGGTGGTGGTAGGATTAGGGGAAAATAAGCAAGGAAAATATATTTTAACAAATTGTGTGTTTAACGTATACGCCGGAGTCAGAAGGTGAGTTTAATTACGAAACTATACAAAAGAACACATAGAAGCGTACTGAACGTGAGAGAACCATGCCACCTAATGACAACTGAGGGCTAAATAAAGGGGGACTAATCAAGGAGAAAATGAACAGGTGTGCGTAATGATGGGGAACAGGTGTGCATAATATAGTTGCCAGGGGCAGTGGTTAGTAGACCGGCGAGAGGGAGCGTGTGTGTGGGATTGGAAATGATGCAGACAATTACATTGGAGGCCACAATCTATCTGCAATATTAAAGCTGATCTACCCCCTTAAAAACATAAATAATTATATTGTAACCATTTATTGCGACAATCATTTACAAAGTTACATTTCATTGCCAACCAATAATTTATATATACATTAGATGACTGATCGGGGGCGCTGTGTTTAAGCTACTGCACCTCCATATTGGTAGTCACCCACTATTGTAAAAATATTTAGGAAGCTATAGAAATGCATTTATTAATTACTACATTCATTTAAGCAGCATTTTATTCTATTAGACACCTTAATGAATCATTTTTAGATTATATTGTGAGCTAAACAAAAATAACAAATGTGACATTTGGAGATTACTAATGTTACAGTCCCCACTACAACAACAACAACAAAATATTCAATTTTGTCCATAACGTTTTAATTGAAACACGTTACAATTTAATTCATTCCTATGGAGGACTGCTCCTACCGGGGAGTGCCAATCTGGCCTACCGGTAGCTTCAAAGCCTCTCAATGGCCAATACATAGCATCAGCAATCCAGAGTTTATATAGATCATTGTTGCCAACCTGTGTTCTCCGTTTCCTGTTTTGAGGGTGCGTGCATGCGCACATCACCTGTGTCAGTGACTCCGGTAAAATGCATTGGTTTGTGCAGTTATGGATGATTTGGTATATTCCATATATTCACTCATGCTTAAGTCAGTGACTGCTGCAATCATTATTCATGTAGTCTTCAATGTGTAACGATCAGTGCTTGACTTGGACTGAAATAGGTGCCTTTACTCATTTTGGGTGCTGGTACTGTTTATATTTTGGTGCAGCAGCTCCACAATACTTTTAATATAGTCTATAAGTGGAACACGATCCCAAGCAGCAGAACATTTGAGGTGCTGTTACTCAGCTCTGGTGAGCTCCTGCCCAAGTTGAGCACTGGTAATGGTGTCTGTTAGCATTTTGTAATGTGTGTGTGTTTTGACTAGTCTTTGTATAGCCTAAATCCTAGGCCTATCTGATGGTTTAGCCTGTTTTTGGGAGTGTCTGTTCAAGCTCAGGCTACACGTGCAGACTTTGATTCATGTGTGTTGAAGCTCTTGTTATATGCTCAGCTGAGTGAGTTAGGCCTGTTTTTAGGCTATCCAAGTCATTTTGTGTCCAAGGTAGACTATTTCTACTGGTTTGAATTTCGACTTTGCCATTTATGTAAGCTCATACATATTTTATAACATTCTCTCGTACTGTTATCACTGGCTGCACTGTAAATAAAACCCTTATTTTGCACCATATTTGTTATTATTTGTTCTGTGCGCTCAAGCCCTCCTAACTAGATCATATTCACTTAAAGTAACTGCTCAGTGTTTCCAGATTTCAATGAAATATGACCTATAACTACTTACAATATGACTGATAGTTTTCCTTCCAATAATAAAACAAATGTGTAATGGTTAAAAAGCAGCTTTTCTGTTGGAATAGTGGAGGCTGCTGAGGGGAGGATGGCTCATAATAATGTCTAGAATGGAATGGCATTGAACACATGTAAACCATGTGTTTGAGGTATTTGATACCATTCTGCTCCATCCATTAACAGGAGCCCGTCCTCCCCAATTAAGATGCCACCAACCTCCTGTGGTGTGTGCGTACCCCCAACAATAGAATGGTGTGGGCATATATCGTCATAGAAAATATTCATGCAAGTAGACTGCTGATTGGCCAGCTGATCCTCCTCTAGGCCGCTGATTGGCCAACTCATTCTCCTTAGGGAGATGATCTCATGGTCTGAGGAAATGGCAAAACAAATGTACTGTCTTTTTGAGAGACAAGTTTGAGGTGTTTTTTTATTAATGCTTCGGCCACATACAAGTTTTCAACATTTAGATATGAGTTAACAGAATATAAACTTTTGAAAGTGAGATTTTCACTGGTTATTTTAAGTCACTAAAACATTTGCTACATTGTTACCATGATTGTGGGACATGTGAATGCAAACAATAGGCTGCACAACATGTGCCAGTTTTTGGTTGTCCCCAACTGTATCATTTTCAGTAATCACATGACTTGTTGTCAATGCAATATTTCCAGGCTAGTCTCTTTTCACAGCTGCTTGTCTCTGCCACTGTGAAAGACACTTAGTCTGCGTTTAGACAGGCAGCCCAATTCTGATATTTTTTCACTACTTTATATTTTGACCGATCAGTTGTGAAAAAGAGCTGACGTGATTTGTCAAAAGACCAATTAGTGTGGGAAAAAAAATCTGAATTGGGCTGCCTCAGACTAATTCATGTGAAACTTAAACTTATTTCAATGTTTTCTAACCCACCATCCCCAGCTTTAAGAGATGGCATCTTACAATGCCATGTCAGAGGACCAGTTCCCATGCTCCATCTGTCTTAGTGTTTTCACCGACCCGGCCACAATCCGTAGTGGAGACCGCGGTCTGTGCTGTGTGTAATACGATCTTCATACCTACCCCCACCATCCAGGTCAACAGTCTTGAGAGACCTTGTGGAAAGCTTCAAGGGGGCGAGTGAAAGTGGCGGCGCGGCCGTCGACAGACCCACCGTGGCTCCGGGAGAGGTCTCGTGTGACGCATGCTTAGGAGACGGGATAACCAAGGCTGTCAAGACCTGCCTCGTGTGTTTGTCATCGTACTGCCTGGAGCATGAAATGGTTCACAATGCCCGGTTCTCCAGGCACGAGCTGGTCAGGCCCCTGGCTAACCTGGAGGAGAGGATGTGTCCGAACCACGAGAGGCTCCTGGAGCGTTACCGCCGCACCGACAAGACCATGCTGTGTGGGGTGTGTGACGCTCACCATGAGCCGGCCCACCAAGTTGTGTAGATGCAGGTAGAGTTCTTGGCTCAAAAGGTAAGAATGAGTTTTAGAGCAATGGTTCCTCAATCGAGGGTTGGATTCACTAGGCAACAAATGGAAGCAAACTGAGAGGGACTACCTGAGCTTGTCCAATAAATGCTTGTTTCCGTTGTGAAATGTTATGCTATGACCCTGGTCTTTTACTTGTATTCATTAAGGCACACATAACAAAACATTTTGAAACAGAACATTGCTCCGGTAGTCCCTCATGGGTTTCATCCATTTTTGGGGGTTTCTTTAGTTTGGTGCCTAATGAATAGGGACTGGGTGTGTGTGTTTTTTGTTCCATCCCGGCACTAATGCTAACACTTATGGTCTTCACTTCAGGCTCAGCTGACAAAAGCCCAAGCAGGGGTAAAGGAGAAGCTGAAGGCCACTCGGAAAGAGGCAGAACATTTCTACTCTTCATTCAACACTGCAAGGTGAGTTTTCTTAATTTGAATTGGCTATAGTCACACCCGCTGTGATTTTGCACTCTTTTGCCATAGCATTCAATTGTAGAACATGCCAAGGAACCTCACATGGGGTTACAAAGACTCCAGGACAGTTTTCCCTATGCACTTGGGTTAGTCACTGTTTCAGAGCGTTTTCTTCCATTGTTATGCCTACTGAAAATGACCCTGGACTGAAGATAACCCATGTTGACTTGGAACCGGTTCCATCTGATAGAGCTGAAATTGTCTATCTATTGTACTTCTATCTGCAACTTTCAGAACGTATCACATCACTGAAAACCCCTCCTACCTCTGTTTCGTCTACCTGCCCCCTTGCAGGATGCAGCGGAGAGCGAGATCCGATGTGTGAATGTGTTCCACCTAGCCCTGGTCAGCAAGGTGGGGCTGATCTGTGATCGCTACAACACCGAGGCCCATAGGATGGTGGACGAGATGCAGAGCACCACCTTCCGTCGGAGCCGTGCGCTTGAAGATGACAGAACAGCTCTGACAAGCAGAGGTGCTGAGCTGGAGCGGCTGATTGGCTCCTCAGACTCCTTTGAGCTTCTTAATGTGAGTAATTGGGCACGTTCAACATTGCAGCAGACTTGAGTCGAGGGTGACTGATCTGCAAATCACCTTGCATACATAACTACTCAATGTTATTTGTAGATTAGTCACAATTTACCCATGAAGCATTATGGTTTTGATTTTCTCGAACATGGCCATTGGCTGTGCCCTGAATCTCTTCTCTCGACGTGTTCACTTGTCTTACACTCTCCAAGTCATGGATGTAACTATGGTGGAAACTCCCTACAGCCAATTATGACAATAATCTAATGCTTTTAGATCCAAGATGGTTGCAAGTGTGGAGAATCTAAACTCTGCCATCATTGCAGGTCAACGTTCTTGTATGTTCAACCCCATTTATTCCATCTCTCTTTTGCTCCTTCTCCTTTCAGATTTTTCCCTCTCTCCCTTCTGCTCCTCCAGATGGGGTCAGAGGACCATGCAGCATCAACATCCCCCCGGACCTACTGGGAAACCTTCTGAAGACCTTAATGAAAGACATGGCCAAGATGGACTACTTGTCTACAAACTGCAATGCTGTCCCAGGTCTCTATTCACAATGTCAGATGTAGTCAGTTTCAGCTTTTGACATGTATGACTGCGTTTACACAGGCAGTTCAAATCTGTTGCCAATTTATTGGCAAAGATATGGGTCACGTTCCTCTGCTCAGGCTTTGCATGCATGAACCAATGGTTGCTGGACTGTGCCATCGGGCACCAGATTGCTATAACGTGGATTCTGTCCTATGTAGCAAATGGTGTGAAATTGTGTTTTTTACATTGGATAAAAGTAGAGACTCTGAGCTAGAAAATTGTATATCATACACTGCAGTTGAGGAACAATGGGGAAAGTAATTTTGCTTTTGAAAGCTGATGAACTTGTAACCCCACTTTTGAGAAAATGGCCCGTGAATGTTTTGGTACACCTACTGGAGAGCTCTTCTTTGTCTACACCCATTCAGCATCGTTCACACCCTCTTAAGCCTTAGCCCCAGCCATCTCTTTAAGGATTCACATGTGAGGCCATGTGCTAAACAGAGTGAATACTGTAATGTAGTAAACAACCAAAGATTTTAAGACTGAAAGTAGTGGCCTACAATAAGGGAAAACTCCAGGTAAAAATACACTTCTAGTCCTTGGCCTATATCCTAATCTGACTTTGGTGCAGGTCGTGTTCTTCACATTACAGTCTGTTAAACACACTATATCAAATGAAATCAAAAGTTTAATTGTCACATGCACAGGATACAGAAAGTGTAAACGGTACAGTGAAATGGTTACTTGCATAGTGGAGTCTTTTGTTTAGACATGTAGCTAGCTAAACATTGAACCATAACCCAAACTCAGAATACCAGGCAGGTAGCAAAAGCTAACCAACTAGGTCCAATGTTAGCTACCTAGCTATCATTAGTTATAGCCTAGCAATGCAAATGCTTTTCTGAGATATGAATGATATTACTACAGAGATCATACACTTAACGTTAGCTAGCGAGCCAGCCAGCTAACGTTAGCTAGCTAACAGTATGGAGACAAGTGTTATTTTTATTTTTTTATACAACCGCCTCCTGTGTTCTCGTTTCGAGACTCTCCGCATTAGGGAATTATTTATCTGCTTCCACCGGGCATTCCACTGATTTCAAAACTCTATCGACTTCTTCCGTGACAACATTGTTGATCACCGTTTCTTCTGATGACCGTGATGGGGGAAGACTCTACAATGTCTGGTTCAATGGAAATGTTTTAACCTAAATCAGGGATTCCTTAATCTTCTGATTCATTTTCAGAGTCTGAGAGATTCAGCATGGCACGATTGTCCACCAGAAAGTAGTCCATCACAACTTTTCCCACTGATCTTTGTCGATAGTGCTATGAACTTCAGGTCAGCAACGCAACACTTTTTCAGATCTTCATGATATCCTTCAAAAAAAGCTGCTGCTAATCCACACATGCTGAGCAGCTCATGTTATAGACCGACGCATGCTACATGGCAGACCAATCCAAACTCCTCTTTCGGCATGTCCAGCCAATCACGGCTAGTGGGAAGGTTCCTGTATTTTTTCGTAATTTATTTGTATTTAAAGATCACATACAAGTTTGTTATTAAGGCACATGTTCCAGAAGGCATGTCTGCCATAACGAATTTTGATTGAAAAAATAATGTAAAAAAATCAAATGCCTCTCCTCCTGAAGTAGTGCCGTGCGACATACAGTGGGGAAAAAAAAGTATTTAGTCAGCCACCAATTGTGCAAGTTCTCCCACTTAAAAAGATGAGAGAGGCCTGTAATTTGCATCATAGGTACACGTCAACTATGACAGACAAAATGAGGAAAAAAATTCCAGAAAATCACATTGTAGGATTTTTTATGAATTTATTAGCAAATTATGGTGGAAAATAAGTATTTGGTCAATAACAAAAGTTTCTCAATACTTTGTTATATACCCTTTGTTGGCAATGACACAGGTCAAAGTACTAACCCTTCCCTCGTTCGAACACACACACACACACACACACACGAGATGCCCACATCAAAGCAAGCCTCCAAAACAGAAATCTTGTTCTGTCGCATTTCCTAATGAGAGGAATTGAAACAGGCTAAATCAGGAATCATATCTATGCCTTTTAAATTAAAGTCAAATTTAATTCAATTTTATTTATCCCAGAGGGGCAAATATTTTCAATTACAATTTGTTTACTTTAAGTAACTATTATTACATTTATTTTAAACTTGGGGTGGGTGTATACTTCGATGGGCGGGAGCGACGCGTGTCATTCTACGATGTGAATCTCGGTCATCATCTCTACACGTACGACCATGTGCCAGCCAATCAAAGACTCTTCCCCGTCTTCAGCCCTGGAGACAACCACATCATGATTGTTACACCCCTCACTGACACAAACCACCTGTGTGGACGATGATGCTCAGTGCCAGTCCAAGCCTTTTGGGGGAGAGTTCTGGTCAGGATCACTTGACTGGTTAGTTTTTTTGTCAATGTTTTGTAAAGTTTTTAAAGATGTCTTAATAAAAGTTTTGTTTCATTTTTTTTTTACCTCAAGCTCCTTTTTGTTGCATGTAGAAAACCTATTTTGTCTTCTAACAGGACCGTATAGTGGCATTGCCTAATTTTCATTTAACATGGGATGAATTTGAAAACATTATTACCTTCTGTCCTTGTTTTCTCAATGAATCTTATTGGAGGAGATCTGAATGAGGGACCTTGGATCTTCCCCTCTAATGGAGTTGAGGAGACCCAGGGGAAGATCTCAATTGCAAATTCCTCTCTACTAGTCTCATTCTCAAAACCCATTGCATGAGAAAGCCAGAGGTCCCTCCCCTCTGACCTTCTACTCCAATCGGTTTAGAGGAGGAGACTACGAGAGAGGACTCGATGAGTATGAAATTGAGATCTTCCCCAGGATGGAGGAAGCAAGGGTTGACTGCTAGTAATGTTTTCAGACAGCCATGGTTGAGGCACATGCAGTGCTCGACTTGGGCAGGAGCGGACAGGAACTGGGTACTGGCAAAGATGATAGTGGGGGGCGGAATGGTTACAGTATAGACACTTGCCAGTCTTTTTAAAACCACCCCAAATTCATTAGGGTGATTTGTTCAGAATGTTGCAGATGGTAAGAGGGCAATGTTTTATGTAGGGCTGCGTTCCACTTCTCCACATTTCTCCGAAAGCATTGACTTGGTGTAAGCATTGGCTGGAAAGTGTTACCACCATTGTTAAATCCATAACTGGGAGTGTGCAAGTGTACACTTTGGGAGAAAGGAGACATTGGGACGCAATCCATGACTGCAAATGTAAGCAACAGAAGGTTTGGGAATGGGGATGCAGCCTAGGTTTAATTTCTTTCTGCAACAGTTCAACTTTCCTCCATTTTACACTCTGTAGAATGTTTGATTAAACATACAGTATATGACTGGACAAAGCCATTAACCACGTGATACCATTCATTCCTATGTCACAACTCCGTAGCGCATTGAAGTTAAGATGGCATCTCATGAAGACACATGCGCAGTTTGAGCTACTCCAGGAAGTGACGTCGTAGACTGCCCCATCTTGTTGAGTAACTAAAGTTGAAGGCTATCCGGGGTACTGCAGGCTGACATTCTGTGTGCGTTTTTATCTGTTATATATAATTTGTTAAAGGACGTTTTGTCTTAAATAAAAATATTTGCATGAAGATTGCCATTTTTCTGCAAACAATGCGGGGGCAGTCGTTCTCCCCTGAGTATCTCGCTCTCTTTATCACCCATTCTCCCAGCATACCCACTCACAGTGGTGCTGCTAGTAGATCCATGGAATCATGAGATGTTGCTTCTCTCCCTCCCATGTTGTCTGTGTCAATCAAGATAGCAGTATCTCTCGCTCTGACAGAACATGTCCCGGATCCCCTCGTGCTTCTTACACATCCTGTTCTCCACAGGGTCGATCAGCTTGTCTCTTCAGATTCTCCACTCTGAGGCTCCAGGTGAGCCTCACAGTAAGAGGTCAGACACACCAGGCAGGACTTCAGGGCCTTGAGCTTTATTGTAGAACAAACATCACAAGCAACCTCCCGAGGACCAGTGAAGACCGGGTGCTTCACAGCATAGGGTGGCAGGTAGCTTAGTGGGTAAGAGCGTTGTGCCAGTAACTGAAAGGTCGCTGGTTCTAATCCCCGAGCCGACTAGGTGAAAAATCTGTCGATGTGCCCTTAAGCAAGGCACTTAACCCTAATTGCTCCTGTAAGTCGCTCTGGATAAGAGCGTCTGCTAAATGACAAAAAAAAAATATATATATATATACACTGCTCAAAAAAATAAAGGGAACACAAAAATAACACATCCTAGATCTGAATGAATGAAATCAACTTAAATACTTTTTTCTTTACATAGTTGAATGTGCTGACAACAAAATCACACAATAATTATCAATGGAAATCAAATGTATCAACCCATGGAGGTCTGGATTTGGAGTCACCCTCAAAATGAACGTGGAAAACCACACTACAGGCTGATCCAACTTTGATGTAATGTCCTTAAAACAAGTCAAAATGAGGCTCAGTAGTGTGTGTGGCCTCCACGTGCCTGTATGACCTCCCTACAAAGCCTGGGTATGCTCCTGATGAGGTGGCGAATGGTCTCCTGAGGGATCTCCTCCCAGACCTGGACTAAAGCATCCGCCAACTCCTGGACAGTCTGTGGTGCAACGTGGCGTTGGTGGATGGAGCGAGACATGATGTCCCAGATGTGCTCAATTGGATTCAGGTCTGGGGAACGGGCGGGCCAGTCCATAGCATCAATGCCTTCCTCTTGCAGGAACTGCTGACACACTCCAGCCACATGAGGTCTAGCATTGTCTTGCATTAGGAGGAACCCAGGGCCAACCACACCAGCATATGGTCTCACAAGGGGTCTGAGGATCTCATCTCGGTACCTAATGGCAGTCAGGCTACCTCTGGCGAGCACATGTAGGGCTGTGCGCCCCCCCCCCCCCCCCCAAAGAAATGCCACCCCACACCATGACTGACCCACCGCCAAACCGGTCATGCTGGAGGATGTTGCAGGCAGCAGAACGTTCTCCACGGCGTCTCCAGACTCTGTCACGTCTGTCACGTGCTCAGTGTGAACCTGCTTTCATCTGTGAAGAGCACAGGGCGCCAGTGGCGAATTTGCCAATCTTGGTGTTCTCTGGCAAATGCCAAACGTCCTGCACGGTGTTGGGCTGTAAGCACAACCCCCACCTGTGGACGTCGGGCCCTCATACCACCCTCATGGAGTCTGTTTCTGACCGTTTGAGCAGACACATGCACATTTGTGGCCTGCTGGAGGTCATTTTGCATGGCTCTGGCAGTGCTCCTCCTGCTCCTCCTTGCACAAAGACGGAGGTAGCGGTCCTGCTGCTGGGTTGTTGCCCTCCTACGGCCTCCTCCACGTCTCCTGATGTACTAGCCTGTCTCCTGGTAGCGCCTCCTTGCTCTGGACACTACGCTGACAGACACAGCAAACCTTCTTGCCACAGCTCGCATTGATGTGCCATCCTGGATGAGCTGCACTACCTGAGCCACTTGTGTGGGTTGTAGACTCCGTCTCATGCTACCACTAGAGTGAAAGCACCGCCAGCATTCAAAAGTGACCAAAACATCAGCCAGGAAGCATAGGAACTGAGAAGTGGTCTGTGGTCACCACCTGCAGAACCATTACATTATTGGGGGTGTCTTGCTAATTGCCTATGATTTCCACCTGTTGTCTATTCCATTTGCACAACAGCATGTGCAATTTATTGTCAATCAGTGTTGCTTCCTAAGTGGACAGTTTGATTTCACAGAAGTGTGATTGACTTGGAGTTACATTGTGTTGTTTAAGTGTTCCCTTTATTTTTTTGAGCAGTATATACAGTGGGGAAAAAAGTATTTAGTCAGCCACCAATTGTGCAAGTTTTCCCACTTAAAAAGATGAGAGAGGCCTGTAATTTTCATCATAGGTACACGTCAACTATGACAGACAAAATGAGAATTTTTTTCTCCAGAAAATCACATTGTAGGATTTTTAATGAATTTATTTGCAAATTATGGTGGAAAATAAGTATTTGGTCAATAACAAAAGTTTCTCAATACTTTGTTATATACCCTTTGTTGGCAATGACACAGGTCAAACGTTTTCTGTAAGTCTTCACAAGGTTTTCACACACTGTTGCTGGTATTTTGGCCCATTCCTCCATGCAGATCTCCTCTAGAGCAGTGATGTTTTGGGGCTGTCGCTGGGCAACACGGACTTTCAACTCCCTCCAAAGATTTTCTATGGGGTTGAGATCTGGAGACTGGCTAGGCCACTCCAGGACCTTGTAATGCTTCTTACGAAGCCACTCCTTCGTTGCCCGGGCGGTGTGTTTGGGATCATTGTCATGCTGAAAGACCCAGCCACGTTTCATCTTCAATGCCCTTGCTGATGGAAGGAGGTTTTCACTCAAAATCTCACGATACATGGCCCATTCATTCTTTCCTTTACACGGATCAGTCGTCCTGGTCCCTTTGCAGAAAAACAGCCCCAAAGCATGATGTTTCCACCCCCATGCTTCACAGTAGGTATGGTGTTCTTTGGATGCAACTCAGCATTCTTTGTCCTCCAAACACGACGAGTTGAGTTTTTACCAAAAAGTTCTATTTTGGTTTCATCTGACCATATGACATTCTCCCAATCCTCTTCTGGATCATCCAAATGCACTCTAGCAAACTTCAGACGGGCCTGGACATGTACTGGCTTAAGCAGGGGGACACGTCTGGCACTGCAGGATTTGAGTCCCTGGCAGCGTAGTGTGTTACTGATGGTAGGCTTTGTTACTTTGGTCCCAGCTCTCTGCAGGTCATTCACTAGGTCCCCCCGTGTGGTTCTGGGATTTTTGCTCACCGTTCTTGTGATCATTTTGACCCCACGGGGTGAGATCTTGCGTGGAGCCCCAGATCGAGGGAGATTATCAGTGGTCTTGTATGTCTTCCATTTCCTAATAATTGCTCCCACAGTTGATTTCTTCAAACCAAGCTGCTTACCTATTGCAGATTCAGTCTTCCCAGCCTGGTGCAGGTCTACAATTTTGTTTCTGGTGTCCTTTGACAGCTCTTTGGTCTTGGCCATAGTGGAGTTTGGAGTGTGACTGTTTGAGGTTGTGGACAGGTGTCTTTTATACTGATAACAAGTTCAAACAGGTGCCATTAATACAGGTAACGAGTGGAGGACAGAGGAGCCTCTTAAAGAAGAAGTTACAGGTCTGTGAGAGCCAGACATCTTGCTTGTTTGTAGGTGACCAAATACTTATTTTCCACCATAATTTGCAAATAAATTCATTAAAAATCCTACAATGTGATTTTCTGGAGAGAAAAAAATCTCAATTTGTCTGTCATAGTTGACGTGTACCCATGATGAAAGTTACACGCCTCTCTCATCTTTTTAAGTGGGAGAACATGCACAATTGGTGGCTGACTAAATACTTTTTTCCCCCACTGTTTATTCTTAACATTGACAGACTTAAAATGATCAACTACTTCCTTGTATGACGTGTTGACCCGGAGCTCAGGTCTTTTGAAGAACTCCTCTTTACACATAGGGCACTGGGGTATATCTCTGGAATCTCAGTAACTTTCAATACAATTCTTACAGAAGTTATGGCCACGAGGAGTAGTGACTGGATTAGTGAACAATTCCAGACTGAGCAATTGAACTGCCTCTCAAGCAGACTACTTCTAGAGGAAGCCATATATCTGAAAATAGAATAGTGTGTTGATCGATGCCATGTGAATCTTGACCCATATACCCCATATCTCTTACAACTTGGCAAACACTTCCAATCTGTGTTTAGCGCCAACAGATGGCAATGGGGTGAAATGACCGACACACTCGTAGGCTACTCCAGTGTGTCATTGTCATGCAGGTATAGCTTGACTTACTCTGGTTAGTTTTTGTAACGTTTGCATGGAAAAAATTATAATTCAGTCATTATAGCCTAAGCCTAATTGGTACATTTCTGACAACTTTGCTTAGGTTTCTGGAGTGATTGTGATGTCGTGGTATTGCGGTTGAGTAGGGTGTGTGTGTGTAAAGGTGGAGACTAGGGAAGTACTCATTTTCTACCATGTCCTGTATTCATAAAGCATCTGACTAGGATTGCTGGTCTAGGATCAGTTTTGCCTTTCGACCATAATATGATTATATGGTCATGGAGAAGGGGCCTGATCCTAGATCAGCACTCCTGCTTTGTGAACACAGGCCCAGGTGAAGTTTGGACACACCCACAGAGTGCTTACTGCTCAGAGCAAAGGGAGAGAGGGAGGGAGATACTGCAGGGTGTGTGATGTTGAGAGCGAGGAAGGGACACTGTAGTGAGTTTCACAGGGCCAAAACCTGTTGTGGATTTACATAGAGAGACGGACAGTACAATACAATACAGTGGAGTAGGAAGCAACCTCCGGAGGACTACAGAGACACGGGACTGTGTGAACACACGAGAAACAGGAGAGCTCAATCAGCATGCAGAGTAAGTTGTATACCTTTTTATTTATTTATAAAAAAAAATATCCCTTTTTTATTGCTGTATTATATCATCTAAATCTCATACGTTATCCTCAAGTTGGTTACCAAGAATGATTGTAAACTTGTTTGGACATAGGAGATTCTTTCACAGCATATGTGGGGAATGTTTTCATGAGTCCGTTTAAAGAAATGTTGATGTAGTATGGAACATAACATACTAAAGTCTGACTCAATGGTATGGGCGGAGAAATTATCAAGGTCCCATGAAAGATTAGTGTCTAAAGGTACTTTTTTTTAGCATGAATTTGATAATAGTTCTGTGGAAATTGACATGGGTGATTCTGCCATATGCTCTCACTTTAACTTCAAACTTCCTGTATGTTTTCGTTATTTGAAGTTGAAAAGGTATTTATCGAAACATGGCATGTCATTTCAGTTTGAGTAGGCTGCGTCCCAAAGGGCATCGTATCCTCTGTATCGTGCACAATGCACTACTTTTGACCAGAGTGCATTGTATAGGGAATATGGTGCCATTTGAGAGCAGACATACAGTACGCATCTGTACAGATTTTTAAAAAACCTAGAGCAGGTACAAGGTAGAGATACAGCCTGCATTTCTACATTCCAGGGATGGTTTACAGCTGAAGTGTTTGGAACAAACTCTTTCACAACCCGTTTATTGATGGGAGTGAGCCTTGTGTTGATGTTTAAAAAGTTATGGCTATGGTGCTCATTTGAATATACTGGCTTTTTCGTTTCTCTCTCTCTCTCTCCTACACACTCACTCCCCTCCCTCTGTCAGGTGTGAGATCCCCAGGGAGGGGGGGCACTTTGTCAGAGGAGTCGTTCCAATGTTCTATCTGTCTGGAGGTCTTCGTAGAGCCTGTCTCTACCCCCTGCGGACACAGCTTCTGCAAGGCCTGTCTTCAGGTATCATATTTACTTTATAAAGCTCGTTTTACATCAGCAGTTGTCATAAAGTGCTTTACAGTTACCTGGCCTAGACCCCAAAAAGCAAGCAAAACATAAGCGAAATGTCAGTGGCCAGGAAAAACATTCTAGAATGTATTAAGGAACCTAGGAAGAATACTAGACTATGTGCTTCCAACCCCTCGTGGGTGTGTGTGTGTGTTTCCATGGACTGTAAGGAAAATGGATAAATAAAGTCCTTCTCTTTCTCCTCCTCATTCTGTAGGGCTACTGGGACCACAGCAAGAAGTTCCAGTGCCCCATGTGTAAGAAGAGCTACACCCGGAGGCCGGAGCTCAGCATCAACCGGGTCCTCGCCGAGATCTCTTCCCAGTTCCAGGGGCTCGATGTGGGGGTGACTACACCGAACACGAAGGCGGGTGCGGTGGCTGGGAGTCTGGCGGCGGGACATGGGTTTCACGGAGAGTCACCGTCGGCTGCGGCGGAGGGTGGGGAGTTCGCCCGGGCGGGCGAGGTGCCGTGTGATGCGTGCATTGGGAGGAAGATGAGGGCCCTGAAATCTTGTCTCAACTGTCCCGGGTCATACTGTGAGGCACATCTCCGACATCACAAGTGAGAAATAACAAATATATTTTCTTAGTGTTTTGCCTTCTTCTCTCTATGACTGAATTGAAATGTAATTGACCCCCACCCTTTACCTAAACACAGGAAGGTGAAATCTCTGACGTCCCACCGCCTGGTTGAGCCCTTGCACCACCTGGAAGAGAAGATCTGTAAGAAGCACGAGCGCCTGCTGGAGGTCTACTGTCGTAACGACCGCGGCTGCGTCTGCATCTCCTGCGCAGAGGCCGCACACAAGACCCACGAGATCGTCTCAGTCGACCGTGAGTGGAAGAAGAAGATGGTGAGTCCAGGGTAGACAGATGGATACAGCAGAAAGATAGGCTAGATAGCCACACTTTAGCTCAGTGGGCTAACACAGTCTTGTAGTGCACAGGAGACCATGGTTCGAACCCTAGTTGATTATGATGGCAGAAATGATGTGTAACAGTGCGTTAGCTCAGCGGGCTAACACAGATAGGCAGGATGGCTGAGATGTATAACACTATAACCTGTGGATACATTACTGTTGAGTACAGCCAGCCCTTGGGTAACAGAGGTGATTCAGCATACATCATACCTAGCATCTGCATCACATCTACCCAGTAATCGCATAAAACGCACCCCCTCCCGTGTATTTCTTGCTTTTGTACTGTACTATACATCAAACTTTAATATTTTCTGCACTCACACAGAGTCATCTGGGTAAGTGGAGGTTGGAGCTGAAACACCTGATCAAGGAGCGGGCCAAGAAGCTGGAGGAGATCAACCAGTCCATACGGGTCATCAAAGTGAGTCCCTCGTATAAATGGTGATGTCATCAAAATGCACCACCTTTTGTCTTTTGTGGTGTTTCGTTGAGTGAGAGTAAGCTGGGTTGTATTCATTAGGGCAAACCGTAGTGAAACAACAATAGTTAATTGTATAGTTGATTGGCATACCGCCTCTTGATCAGGGCTCTTTTATTCCTGCTAAATAAATATCTATCTTGATGGGACATATGGATGAATAAAGTTATATGATGTATAAATCAAATAGAATACATTTTCATAGTGTCAATACCCCCATAGTGTCCCCAACACTTACACTAGGCCTTACAGTTGACTACCATAGAAAGCATTTTTGCTCCCATGTTTGTAATGGCTCTGATCCATCTCTTAGGCCTAGGCAGACTAGCCGGCGTGGCCAGTGCAAACATTTACCTGAGTGCCCGCACCTTGTTTTAAGACTACAGTCCTTAACTAGTACCTCCTGGAAACTCCCTTTGTGGACCAAAGAGGTTAAGATAGTAGAATTTCTGTCAGCTTTAAAGGGGCAATCCAGTATTAAATAACAGCAAAACGACTTGTTTAGGTAAACAGCTGACAAATGGGACTGGAGAAAACGTTGTCAGTCTCAAATTCATAGACAGGCGCTAGCCAAGGTCGAGGGGTCAATTCCTGCAGGGATCACATAGACACAGCCAACTGAGACTTGGCTAAATAGTAGTTAATAGCAGTAAACTGTTTTCTCTGTAGCAGTACTGACTACTCACTAAAACTCGCTTAGTTCACTGCTACGCTGGTTGACCAGTCTCCTGGTCAGATATTGACTGTAAATAGAGCACAGTGCAACTGCAGTCCACTTGAGCCGTGTTTAAAAATGCGATGAGGTTACAGAGGGAGGGTATATCTTGGTGGGTTACTTACTGACTAGAGGGAGGGAGGGGGGAGAGGGATGAGAGGGGGGGAGTGAGTGGGATGATAAACAATTCTGTTCATAGGTTTTGATTTTCAATCATGTTTTTATATTATACACTTTTCCTGTGTAGTCATGAACACGTGACATGGAAAGGAAGCATAACAAAACACAAACTGTTTCCTCCAACTCAAGCAGGTAGATATTTGCCTGTGGGCTGAGAGGGATAAGGCAGCCAGACCTGTTAGGCCAGTTGTGCTGTTGGCAAACATGTACATCAGTTGTGTGTCGACAGCTTTAGAGTAACTTTACATCACTCAAACGTGTACCTCAGCCGTGTGTGTTTTCACACACAACCTCTCTCCTGCATCTCCCCATCTTTATAGCAGTGCTCAGAGGGAGATGTAGGAGAGCGATGGATTTATCTGTATCTCCAGAATATGTCTGTATACAGTGCATTCGGAAGGTATTCAGACCAGTTGACTTTTTTCCACATTTTGTTACGTTACAGCTTTATTCTAAAATGGATTAAATACATTTTTTTCTTCAGTGAAAAGTGAAAACCGTTTTTTAGAAATGTTTGCAAATGTATATAAGAAAAAAACAGAGACCTTATTTACATAAGTATTCAGACCCTTTGCTATGAGACTAAAATTAGCTCAGATGCATCTTGTTTCCATTGATCATCCTTGAGATGTTTCTACAACTTGATTGGAGTCCAGCTGTGGTAATGTATTTGTCTGTATCTCTAGAATATGTCTGTACATGTCACTCTGTCCTCTCCCATCTCTATGACTCTCAATAGAACAATGTCTCAATATCTGTGTACTATGTATGTCTGTCTATAACCTGTCTTTATAGAGCAGCGCCCAGAGGGAGTTGGAGGACAGTTGGCAGGTGTATGCAGAGCTGCAAAGTCTAGTGGAGCAGAGCCAGGCTGAGCTGGTGGAGCTGATCGGTACGAGACAGCGTGAGGCGGAGAGGCATGCCCAGGAGCTGGTCCGAGGTCTGGAGGACGAACTGAGCCAGCTCCGGAAGAGGAGCGGAGAGCTGGACGCCCTGGCACAGAACCAGGATAAAGTAATCTTCCTCAAGGTAGGCTAGGACATGACGAGGGGATACACAGGCCCACACACACAGAAACACACAGACACACGCATAACACACACACACACACACACCATACACAGTTAAACCCCTCCTCGTCCTCCCCTGCAGAGCTTGCCCACACTGGCGCCCCTCCCAGAGCCCATTAATTGGTCAGGTGTGAGTGTGAACACAGACCTCTACCTAGGAACTATCCAATCATCCGTCAGCACCCTCGTCGACAGGTTCCAGGAAGAACTCAAGAGTCTGTACGGAAAAGGTGGGCAAAATCAACCATTATTATATACAGTCTTGGTCAAAAGTTTTGAGAATTGTTGGTCTTCACAAAGTTTGCTGCTTCAGTGTTTTTAGGTATTTTTGTCAGAATAATTACAAGCATTCCATAAGTGTCAAAGGCTTTTATTGACAATTACATTAAGTTTATGCAAAGAGTCAATATTTGCAGTGTTGACCCTTCTTTTTCAAGACCTCTGCAATCCGCCCTGGCATGCTGTCAATTAACTTATGGGCCACATCCTGACTGATGGCAGCCCGTTTTTACATAATCAATGCTTGGAGTTTTTCAGAATATGTGAGTTTTTGTTTGTCCACCCGCCTCTTGAAGATTGACCACAAGTTCTCAGTGGGATTAAGGTCTGGGGAGTTTCCTGGCCATGGACCCAAAATGTTGATGTTTTGTTCCCCGAGCCACTTAGTTATCACTTTTGCCTTATGGCAAGGTGCTCCATCATGCTGAAAAAGGCATTGTTCGTCACCAAACTGTTCTTGGATGGTTGGGAGAAATTGCTCTCGGAGGATGTGTTGGTACCATTCTTTATTCTTGGCTGTGTTCTTAGGCAAAATTGTGAGTGAGCCCACCCCCTTGGCTGAGAAGCAACCCCACACATGAATAGTCTCAGGATGCTTTACTGTTGGCATGACACAGGACTGATGGTAGCGCTCACCTTTTCTTCTCTGGACAAGCTTTTTTCCGGATGCCCCAAACAATCGGAAAGGGGATTCATCAGAGAAAATGACTTTACCCCAGTCCTCAGCAGTCCAATCCCTGTACCTTTTGCAGAATATCAGTCTGTCCCTGATGTTTTTCCTGGAGAGAAGTGGCTTCCTCGCTGCCCTTCTTGACACCAGGCCATCCTCCAAAAGTCTTCGCCTCACTGTGTGTGCAGATGCACTCACACCTGCCTGCTGCCATTCCTGAGCAAGCTCTGCAATGGTGGTGCCCCGATCCCGCAGCTGAATCAACTTTAGGAGACGATCCTGGCGCTTGCTGGACTTTCTTGTGCGCCCTGAAGCCTTCTTCACAACAATTGAACCTCTCTCCTTGACGTTCTTGATGATCCGATAAATGGTTGATTTAGGTGTGGTCCTCTGTAGCTCAGCTGGTAGAGCACGGCGCTTGTAACGCCAAGGTAGTGGGTTCGATCCCCGGGACCACCCAAACACAAAAAAAATGTATGCACGCATGACTATAAGTCGCTTTGGATAAAAGCGTCTGCTAAATGGCATATTATTATTATTATAGGTGCAATCTTACTAGCAGCAATATCCTTTTCTGTGAAGCCCTTTTTGTGCAAAGCAATGATGACGGCACGTGTTTCCTTGCAGGTAACCATGGTTAACAGAGGAAGAACAATGATTTCAAGCAACACCCTCCTTTTAAAGCTTCCAGTCTGTTATTCTAACTCAATCAGCATGACAGAGTGATCTCCAGCCTTGTCCTCGTCAACACTCTCACCTGTGTTAACGAGAGAATCACTGACATGATGTCAGCTGGTCCTTTTGTGGCAGGGCTGAAATGCAGTGGAAATGTTTTTTTGGGATTAAGTTCATTTTCATGGAAAAGAGGGACTTTGCAATGAATTGTAATTCATCTGATCACTCTTCATAACATTCTGGAGTATATGCAAATTGCCATCATAAAAACTGAGGCAGCAGACTTTGTGAAAGTTAATATGTGTGTCATACTCAAAACTTTTGACCACGACTGTAGATCAAATCATACCTTGTTTGCCAGGGTAAGATAGTGGTGCAATACCTACAGCAGGGGTAGGCAACCCTGTTCCTGGAGGGCCACAGGTACTGCAGGATTTTGTTGCAACTAGGCACAACACCTGACCAACTGAACTAATTGATCAGTCCAGTGATTGCCTAAATTCAACACACCTGGTCTTCCACGTCGGTTAAATCAAAAACATGAAGTTCTAGTGCCAGGGTTGCCTTACCCCTGATATACAGTATAAGGCTTTTGTCAAAAGCGGAGCAATATGTGTAAAACTGTAAAATTCGAGAGACAACCATTGTCACGTGCTTCCTGTGTGACCTCACTTCCTGTTTCCAAATCCCATTTCTCTCCAGGTAGAAGTTGCAGTGGGGAAAAAAAGTATTTAGTCAGCCACCAATTGTGCAAGTTCTCCCACTTAAAAATATGAGAGAGGCCTGTAATTTTCATCATAGGTACACGTCAACTATGACAGACAAATTGAGAAAATATAAGTATTTAAGTAAATAAGTATTTGGACACCTACAAACAAGCAAGATTTCTGGCTCTCACAGACCTGTAACTCCTTCTTTAAGAGGCTCCTCTGTCCTCCACTCGTTACCTGTATTAATGGCACCTGTTTGAACTTGTTATCAGTATAAAAGACACCTGTCCACAACCTCAAACAGTCACACTCCAAACTCCACTATGGCCAAGACCAAAGAGCTGTCAAAGGACACCAGAAACAAAATTGTAGACCTGCACCAGGCTGGGCAGACTGAATCTGCAATAGGTAAGCAGCTTGGTTTGAAGAAATCAACTGTGGGAGCAATTATTAGGAAATGGAAGACATACAAGACCACTGATGATCTCCCTCGATCTGGGGCTCCACGCAAGATCTCACCCTGTGGGGTCAAAATGATCACAAGAACGGTGAGCAAAAATCCCAGAACCACACGGGGGGACCTAGTGAATGACCTGCAAAGAGCTGGGACCAAAGTAACAAAGCCTACCATCAGTAACACACTACGCCGCCAGGGACTCAAATCCTGCAGTTCCAGACGTGTCCCCCTGCTTAAGCCAGTACATGTCCAGGCCCGTCTGAAGTTTGCTAGAGTGCATTTGGATGATCCAGAAGAGGATTGGGAGAATGTCATATGGTCAGATGAAACCAAAATATAACTTTTTGGTCAAAACTCAACTCGTCGTGTTTGGAGGACAAAGAATGCTGAGTTGCATCCAAAGAACACCATACCTAGTGTGAAGCATGGGGGTGGAAACATCATGCTTTGGGGCTGTTTTTCTGCAAAGGGACCAGGACGACTGATCCGTGTAAAGGAAAGAATGAATGGGGCCATGTATTGTGAGACTTTGAGTGAAAACCTCCTTCCATCAGCAAGGGCATTGAAGATGAAACGTGGCTGGGTCTTTCAGCATGACAATGATCCCAAACACACCGCCCGGGCAACGAAGGAGTGGCTTCGTAAGAAGCATTTCAAGGTCCTGGAGTGGCCTAGCCAGTCTCCAGATCTCAACCCCATAGAAAATCTTTGGAGGGAGTTGAAAGTCCGTGTTGCCCAGCGACAGCCCCAAAACAACATTGCTCCGAGAGGAGATCTGCATGGAGGAATGGGCCAAAATACCAGCAACAGTGTGTGAAAACCTTGTGAAGACTTACAGAAAACGTTTGACCTGTGTCATTGCCAACAAAGTATTGAGAAACTTTTGTTATTGACCAAATACTTATTTTCCACCATAATTTGCAAATAAATTCATTAAAAATCCTACAATGTGATTTTCTGGAAAAGAAATTCTAATTTTGTCTGTCATAGTTGACGTGTACCTATGATGAAAATTACAGGCCTCTCTCATCTTTTTAAGTGGGAGAACTTGCACAATTGGTGGCTGACTAAATACTTTTTTCCCCCACTGTACCTGTAGGCACCAATCTAGGATCAGCATAGTTTCCCTCAATTCTTATCTCAACTGCAGGGAAGAAAAAACACCAAACTGACCTTACATCAGTGTTTATCACGGCTCATAATAATGGCCAGAAAGGAGCAAATGGAATGGCATCAATGGAATGGCATGGGTTTGATGCATTTGATACTATTCCACTCCAGCCGTTAGCATTAGCCACTAACCTCCTGTGGTGTCTATGTAGCTATCTAGATGTAGGTCATTGGACTGGCTCCTCTATATAGAGAGTGAATCATCAGATGGGATACATAGTGAAGTACAGTAGATGCCAAAGGTCAGCCATCTGTTAGTAATGAGATGGCAACAACAGGCGACTGACTGACAGCGCCACATGAAGGTGGGATCAGCACTGTCTGTTTACCTCCACTGTCGACTTTGACTCTGACTCCCTCTCCTCTCTCTCTCTCTCTCTCTCTCTCTCTCTCTATGACTGTCTCTCTCTCTGACTCTCTCTCTGTCTCTGTCTCTCTCTGTATCGCTCTCTCTCTCGCTCTCTTTCTCTCACTCTCTCTCTCTCTCATGCTCTGTCTCGCTCGCGCTCTCTCTCTGTCTCGCTCGCGCTCTCTCTCTGTCTCGCTCGCGCTCTCTCTCTGTCTCGCTCGTGCTCTCTCTCTGTCTCGCTCGTGCTCTCTCTCTGTCTCGCTCGCGCTCTCTCTCTGTCTTGCTCGCGCTTTCTCTCTCTGTCTCGCTCGCTCTCTTTCTCTCTGTCTCGCTCGCGCTCTTTCTCTCTGTCTCGCTCGCGCTCTTTCTCTCTGTATCGCTTGCTCTCTTTCTTGCGCTCTCTCTCGTTCGCACTGTCTCGCGCTCTCTCTCTATCTCGCTCTCTTGCTCTGTAGCTCGCTTGCTCTCTCAATTCAATTTAAAAGGCTTTATTGGCTTGGTAAACATATGTTCACATTTCCAAAGCAAGTGAAATAGATAATAAACAAAAGTTAAATAAACAATACAAAAATGTACAGTAAACATTACACTCAGTGTTGTAACAATGAGCAATAGTTAAAGTACAAAAGGGAAAATAAATAAACATAAATATGGATTGTATTAACAATGGTGTTTGTTCTTCACTGGTTGCCCTTTTCTTGTGGCAACAGGTCACAAATCTTGCTGCTGTGATGGCACACTGTGGTATTTCACCTAATAGATTTGGGTGTTTATCAAAATTGGATTTGTTTTCGAATTCTTTGTGGGTCTGTGCAATCTGAGGGAAATATGTGTTTCTAATATGGTCATTCATTTGGCAGGAGGTTAGGAATTGCGCTCTCTCGCATTCTCTCTCTCTCTCTGTCTCGCTCGCTGTGTGGGCAGTGTGCACATAGCCTGTCTTCTCTTTAGAGCCAGGTCTGCCTCCCACTGTCAATAGCTAGGCTATGCTCACTGAGTCTGTACATAGCTTTCCTTCATTTTGGGACAGTCACAGTGGTCAGGTATTCTGCCACTGTGTACTCTCTGTTTAGGTCCAAATAGCATTCCAGTTTATTCTGTTTTTTTGGTTAATTCTTTCCAATGTGTCAAGTAATTATATGTTTTATTCTGTCTCTCTGACTCTGACAGTGTGTCTCTCTTTCTCTCCATTGCAGAGCTCAGGAAGCTGCAGAACTATGCAAGTGAGTACAGTTCGTTTTTTTTTAGATAGGTGCGAATTTGAATTTCAAGTGTGATGATTTGGGTACACATGCTCCTCTTTGAAACTACTTTGTGTTAACGTTTATGACAGAATGATGTTGTCTTCTAAAGTTTCAGTCGATAATAGAGGAAAATAGTAAGGCAGAGGCTTTGTTGATCCTCAGTAATTCTGTTCTGTCTATACTTCACCATATGGTGTCAGTACTGGGTCATGATTACACTTAGGAAGGATACAAACCTACAGTAGCAGTGGAGGTTGGTGTCACCTTAATTGGGGAGGACGGGAACGTAGTAATGGCTGGAGAGGAATAAGTAGAAAGGTATCAACAACATCAAACACATGGTTTCAATGTGTTTGATGCCATTCCATTCGCTCCGTTCCAGCCATTATTATGAGCTGTCTCCCCTCAGCAGCCTCCACTGGTTGTTCACTCCAGGGAAATGTCCACTCCTCAATTCTATTTGGTCAGTTACATACATTGTTTTAAATGGAACTTGGACTGGTCACAATATAACCCACCCTCTTTTAAATAGAACTTACACTGTTCTCATAAGAATCAACGCTGTTCTCAATAGAACCATCACTGTTCTCAACACTGCTCTCTCTCTCTCCTCCAGGTGAGGTGTACCTGGACCCGGGTACGGCCCAGAGGAACCTGGTCCTGTCAGAGGATGGTCGCCAGGTGATGTACGAGGAACAGAAGCACAACCAGTCGGAAGGCACTCGTCGCTTCAGCCCCGCCCTCTTCGTGATCGCTCGCGAGGGCCATGTCCTCTGGACGCCATTACTGGGAGGTCGAGGTGGGCCACAAGACTGCCTGGACTGTGGGCGTGATGCGGGCGTTGGCACGCCGGAAGGGAGAGATAAAGCTGAGCCCTGATGGAGGGTACTGCTGCCTTTCTATTTTAGTTTATTTATTTTTTACATTGAAATGTTATACATTTTGAAGGATAAAAGTTCAAATGTAATACACAAATCTATACGTCCTTCCACACAAATCATCACAAATTAACAAAAAATCAAAACACATTCAAAGAAATTCAAAAAGCTTGAGAGTCTGGATAGATGTCATGCCCTTGTTGTTACAGAGCATGTTATTCAGTGTATCAAAGTAATTATATAATTCTACCTTTTTAAAATATTGAGTAGGATGTTTTTTTTAATTTTCTTGGTAACACTTGCCGATAAGGGTACATGAATAGACATTCATAATTAGTTAACATTAGCTAATACATTTACAGATCATTTATGGATGTGATATTTAGCAAGAATAATAATCTCGTCAATTCATCACAAAGGTACTGGTGCCTGTGGCTGAAGTGTGGGGAGGTCAAGGCTCTGGCGTCCACTCGACAGCACCTCCAGCTGACCTCTCACCCCCAGAAGATTGGCATCTTCCTCGACTATGAAGGTGGCCAGGTGTCGTTCTACGACGTCAAGGCGCGCACGCACCTCTTCACGTTCGTGGATACATTCAGCGAGAGTTTGTATCCAATATTTAGTCCCTGTCTCAACCCCGATGGAAAGAACGCGGCCCCACTCATCATCAGTGCTGTGAAGCATAGCTGAGACAAGACATGACGAGGACTGTGTCCCAAATGGCACCCTATTCCCTATACAGTGCACTAATTTTGACTGCACTACTTTGGGCCCTGGTAAAAAGTAGTGCACTATGCAGGGAATAGCATGACATTTGGGACGAAGTCATGACATGACACACCCCATTCTGCTCAGAGGTTGACCGATCACAGTTTAGTCACTTGATTAGGGGCCTGAGATCTTCCTCACTGTGTGATCTTACCAGGAAAAACTGTGGAACCAAAGTGATAGCTGATATACTGTATAACTAAGGCCCAGAGTTTTCCTCAGGTCAGGTAACATGGTCAGGAAAAGCTAATGTTTGATTGATGACTTTACTGTCCAGATTCTTACTTGCGTTAATACACAGAAGTCTAATGCTTTACATTTTAACTATTTTGATAGCTGGATTAATCAAAATGGACATTTAGTTGGGTATTGCCATACTTTCATTTGGGTATTGCTTTACTAAACAGTAAACAACTAAATATGTTAACTATATGTTAAAGGGGTAGATCTTTGGATAAAAATACATCTTCTAAAAATCCTTACTGTGAAAGTTGACTTTTTTATAAGTCTTTCATTATATATTTGATAAGTCTAGAAGTAAATTGAAAGCTGTAAACAACAACTACAGTACAGCAAATTCACAGAGAATACATATATATACAGTGGGGAAAAAAAGTATTTAGTCAGCCACCAATTGTGCAAGTTCTCCCACTTAAAAAGATGAGAGAGGCCTGTAATTTTCATCATAGGTACACATCAACTATGACAGACAAATTGAGGAAAGAAAATCCAGAAAATCCCATTGTAGGATTTTTAATGAATTTATTTGCAAATTATGGTGGAAAATAAGTATTTGGTCACCTACAAACAAGCAAGATTTCTGGCTCTCACAGACCTGTAACTTCTTCTTTCAGAGGCTCCTCTGTCCTCCACTCGTTACCTGTATTAATGGCACCTGTTTGAACTTGTTATCAGTATAAAATACACCTGTCCACAACCTCAAACAGTCACACTCCAAACTTCACAATGGCCAAGACCAAAGAGCTGTCAAAGGACACCAAAAACAAAATTGTAGACCTGCACCAGGCTGGGAAGACTGAATCTGCAATAGGTAAGCAGCTTGGTTTGAAGAAATCAACTGTGGGAGCAATTATTAGGAAATGGAAGACATACAAGACCACTGATAATCTCCCTCTATCTGGGGCTCCACGCAAGATCTCACCCCGTGGGGTCAAAATGATCACAAGAACTGTGAGCAAAAATCCCAGAACCACACGGGGGGACCTAGTGAATGACCTGCAGAGAGCTGGGACCAAAGTAACAAAGCCAACCATCAGTAACACACTACGCCGCCAGGGACTCAAATCCTGCAGTGCGAGACGTGTCCCCCTGCTTAAGCCAGTACATGTCCAGGCCCGTCTGAAGTGCATTTGGATGATCCAGAAGAGGATTGGGAGAATGTCATATGGTCAGATGAAACCAAAATATAACTTTTTGGTAAAAACTCAACTCGTCATGTTTGGAGGGCAAAGAATGCTGAGTTGCATCCAAAGAACACCATACCTACTGTGAAGCATGGGGTTGGAAACATCATGCTTTGGGGCTGTTTTTCTGCAAAGGGACCAGGACGACTGATCCGTGTAAAGGAAAGAATGAATGAGGCCATGTATCGTGAGATTTTGAGTGAAACCCTCCTTCCATCAGCAAGGGCATTGAAGATGAAACGTGTCTGGGTCTTTCAGCATGACAATGATCCCAAACACACCGCCCGGTCAACGAAGGAGTGGCTTCGTAAGAAGCATTTCAAGGTCCTGGAGTGGCCTAGCCAGTCTCCAGATCTCAACCCCATAGAAAATATTTGGAGGGAGTTGAAAGTCTGTGTTGCCCAGCGACAGCCCCAAAACATCACTGCTCTAGAGGAGATCTGCATGGAGGAATGGGCCAAAATACCAGCAACAGTGTGTGAAAACCTTGTGAAGACTTACAGAAAACGTTTGACCTGTGTCATTGCCAACAAAGGGTATATAACAAAGTATTGAGAAACTTTTGTTATTGACCAAATACTTATTTTCCACCATCATATGCCAATAAATTCATTAAAAATCCTACAATGTGATTTTCTGGATTTTTTTTTCTCATTTTGTCTGTCATAGTTGACGTGTACCTATGATGAAAATTACAGGCCTCCCTCATCTTTTTAAGTGGGAGAACTTGCACAATTGGTGGCTGACTAAATACTTTTTTCCCCCACTGTATTTATACTCCGGACTCTGACATTGCTCTTCCTAATATTTCTTAATTCCATTCTTTTACTTTTTGATTTTTATATATGTTTGTGTATTCTTAGATATGATGGCACTGTTGGAGCTAGGAATACAAGCATTTCACCACACCTGCATTAAAATCTACTAAATATGTAACCAACTACAGTACAGCAAATTCACAGAGAATAACATGTTTACTTTTTACTTCAATCTGAAGCTTTTAAAATAAAGATTTTCTATCAATAAGTAAATCACCCCTGAAATGATATTCAACCAAAGTCCTAGGAAAGAAAACCACTGCAGCAAAGTTAAGTGAAATTCACAGTAGACTTGGAGCTATATAACTTACACTTAAAGTGAGAGATACGACATTATGTGGTGTTGACATTCACATTTTAGTAACTTTGCAGATGCTCTTACTCAGCAATTAGGGTTAAGTGCCTTACTCAAGGGCACATTGACAGATGGTTCACCTAGTCGGCTTGGGGATTCGAACCAGCTTTCGGATACTAGCCCAACGATATTAACTGCTACGCTACCTGCCACCCCGGTATGTCTATTCTATGTGTTACTAATTGTTGAGTATATGACCCAATCTTACAAATGTTAATCAATGAAAAAGTGACCTAGGGCTATAGGCAAAGAATGATAGAAGCCACTGTCTAATAAAGGGTTCATGTTGTTCCCCTTCGAGCACAGCGGTCGAGGAAGTATAAATTGGTAAGAGGTGAAGAGGCGGAGGGAGAGGAGCATATTTTGGGGGATGGGGCTGTTGGTGGCAGCAGTGTTGTTTGTCAGTATTGTCCAGTGGTCCACTGCCTTCTGCTGAGTGTTCCTATATCTCCCTTTTTGTCTATCTCTCTGCCTCTCTCTTTCTCTATGAACGTTTTATCTCTACCTTAACTGCTTCAGCAAGAATACACTGAAGGTATTGGGAATTCTATCATATATTTTTGATGGTGTTCATATTCGATCAGGACAGATGGGGAAAGAGCTTAATAACGTTGATTATGTGAGGCTTCAACTAAAGCTTGATCTCAGCTTTTTTTTTTGTACTAAGCTACTGAAATATCTTGATTTTGTACTACAGGCGGGCTGGAGGATGCCTATAAAAACAAATAATTTGGAATTATGTGAGGATAAAATGGCTTGACAAGATCCAGAACGCCTCTTCTTGGTTATAATAATAACAATAATATGTTTTTCCTCCTGAAGTGCACACTCATTCACTTATGTAAAGCCATTGGATTGATATACCAGTCATCTTTCAAATCCATGAAGGGAAGTGCACACGTCTGGAGAAAGGAGAGATTATTCGGAAGCACCCGTTGTTTATGACAGAGAAGGTAGAGCAGATCTATGAATAGCCAACCTTCTAGCCATGGTCTACGTCCCAAATGGCACCCTATTCCCTATATAGTGCAATACCTTTGACCAGAGCCATGTGGGCACTAGTCAAAAGTAGTGCACTGCATAGGGTATATGGTTCCATTTGGAACGCAGGCCATGTTCATAAATGCTTGTTGCCCAAATTCAAAAGTGGGTGTGCCAGGGGTGCACATAGTTTTAACATGCTGACAACCTGCTTTCCAAAATCAAACAACTCTTGCTTAGTCCATTTAACATGGGGGATAATTCAAGTAAACAATGCCTATCAACAGATCTCGCTTGGCTCGTGATCAGAAGTGGCAAGGACCGCATTTATTAAATGTGTTTAGTGTTATAATAGCAATTCTTCAAGAATAAATTAATATCTATGTTCAAATATATTGTGGTTCCAGAAATATATTTTGGAAAACAATATGAACATCCATCCATCCTTCATGAAGACTGTTTGTTTTAAAAACCTGATCTTATACAGTCTTATACAGTGGCTTGCGAAAGTATTCACCCCCCTTGGCATTTTTCCTATTTTGTTGCCTTACAACCTGGAATTAAAATGGATTTTTGGGTTGTTTCTATCATTTGATTTACACAACATGCCTACCACTTTGAAGATGCAAAATATTTTTTCAAGAAATAAGACATAAAAACAGTACTTGAGCACCCCCCCCCCCCCCCCCCCCCCCCCCCAAATCAAAACTTCGTAGAGCCACCTTTTGCAGCAATTACAGCAGTAAGTCACTTGGGGTATGTCTCTATAAGCTTGGCACATCTAGCCACTGGGATTTTTGCCCATTCTTCAAAGCAAAACTGCTCCAGCTCCTTCAAGTTGGATGGGTTCCGCTGGTATACAGCAATCTTTAAGCGATACCACAGATTCTCAATTGGATTGAGGTCTGGGCTTTGACTAGGCCATTCCAAGACATTTAAATGTTTCCCCTTAAACCACTCAAGTGTTGCTTTAGCAGTATGCTTAGGGTCATTGTCCTACTGGAAGGAGAATCTCCATCCCAGTCTCAAATCTCTGGAAGACTGAAACAGGTTTCCCTCAAGAATGTCCCTGTATTTAGTGCCAACCATCATTCCTTCAATTCTGACCAGTTACCCAGTCCCTGCTGATGGAAAAACATCCCCACAGCATGATGCTGCCACCACCATGCTTCACTGTGGGGATGGTGTTCTCGGGGTGATGAGAGGTGTTGGGTTTGCACCAGACATAGTGTTTTCCTTGATGGCCAAAAAGCTCAATTTTAGTCTCATCTGACCAGAGTACCTTCTTCCATATGTTTGGGGAGTCTCCCACATGCCTTTTGGCGAACACCAAACGTGTTTTGCTTATTTTTTTCTTTAAGCAATGGCTTTTTTCTGGCCACTCTTCCGTAAAGCCAGCTCTGTGGAGCGTACGGCTTAAAGTGGTCCTAGGTACAGATACTACAATCTCCGCTGTGGAGCTTTGCAGCTCCTTCAGTGTTATCTTTGGTCTCTTTGTTGCCTCTGATTAATGCCCTCCTTGCCTGGTCCGTGAGTTTTGGTGGGCGGCCCTCTCTTGGCAGGTTTGTTGTGGTGCCATATTCTTTCAATTTTTTAATAATGGATTTAATGGTGCTCCGTGGGATGTTCAAAGTTTCTGATATTTTTTTGTAACCCAACCCTGATCTGTACTTCTCCACAACTTTGTCCCTAACCTGTTTGGAGAGCTCCTTGGTCTTCATGGTGCCGCTTGCTTGGTGGTGCCCCTTGCTTAGTGGTGGTGCCCCTTGCTTAGTGGTGTTGCAGACTCTGGGGCCTTTCAGAACAGGTGTATATATACTGAGATCATGTGACACTTAGATTGCACACAGGTGGACTTTATTTAACTAATTATGTGACTTTGAAGGTAATTGGTTGCACCAGATCTTATTTAGGGGCTCCATAGCAAAGGGGGTGAATACATATGCACACACCACTTTTTCCATTATTTATTTTTTAGAATTATTTGAAATAAGTAATTTTTTTCACTTCATCGATTTGGACTATTTTGTGTATGTCCATTACATGAAATCCAAATAGAAATCCATTTAAATTACAGATTTTAATGCAAAAAAAGTAGGAAAAATGCCAAGGGGGATGAATACTTGTGCAAGGCACTGCAAATACTGCCTGCTTTATGGCCTGCATCTCACAGGTCAGATATCACAGGTTGGACAACGATCCCAATGTCAATAAAGTGTTACAGAACACTGCAATGTAAAATGTGACTGTGCATGGTCTTCTCTGCCAGTAATGGACTTTCCTTGCAGGAAATAATGGAAATCTGGTCAGAGGAGCAGGTCCACTGTTCCATCTGTCTGGACGTGTTCACCAACCCTGTCTCCATCCCGTGGACATAACTTCTGCCGCTGCTGCATCCTAGACTACTGGAAGACCACCGCCCTGTTCCAATGCCCCATGTGCAAGAAGACCTTCTTCAAGAGGCCTGACATTAGCATCAACACCGTCATGAGGGAGATCACAGAGCAATTCAAGGACATCAGGGTTAGCAACACAGAGCATCTCCAACAGCAGGAGCTCAAAGAGGAACGTGAGCGACAAAAGAAGATGGAGGAACAGAAAAAGATCGAGCAGGAGGAGAAAAAGATTGAGCAGGAAACTAAGAAGAAAGAACAGCAGGATCTGGTTCAAAAGCAGCAGAAACTTCTTCAGGAGCTGAGGCTGAATCAAAAGATGCAGAAGCTACAGCTGCAGCAAATGACCAGCCAGGAACCAGAGAAATGAATGGATTCAAAACCAGAGGAAAAGCCAGAGGCACCACCAGCCCTTGCTCTGCCCTCTCCACCCCACAGCCCCTGGGGCGAGGTTTCTTGTGATGTCTGCATGGGCGATCGCGTGAAGGATGTCAAGTCCTAACTGGTGATATTCTTATTGGATTTGTTTGTTGTGTTTTGGATAATATTTATATTTTATACATTTATTGTTTGTTATATTTTGATGATGATGAAGACTATTGTTATAATTTCTTTAAAAAAATCAATTTCAAGTTTTTGTTTGTTCTGAAAAGCCCTATACAATTGTAATAATTTATAATGATTATTATTAATTATTCTTAGATGTGTCTGACGTCGTACTGTGAGGAACACATGAAGAACCACAACACCCGCTTCACTAAGCACAAGCTGATTGAACCTGTGGCTAACCTGGAAGATAGAATGTGTCCGAAGCACGAGAGGCTCCTGGAGCTCTTCTGTAAGAAGGACCAGATGTGTGTGTGTGTGTGTGTGTGTGTGTGCTGTGCACTGAAACGGACCACAGAGCCCACTACACTGTCCCTGTGGAGAGGGAGTGGTCTGAAAAGAAGGTGAGAGGAATTCCCTAGACTTGAGGTTAAATCCTGACATCCAATTTTCTCTTAGTCATGCATTGATGTCAGTGAGAGACTGGAAGTTAGGATTTGCCTTGTGCAAAGACTATACTGTATCTGAACGTATTGATAATGAATTGGAATTCATTGAATTGGTTTATAAATTTAAAAGACATAGTAACTCTTCTGATGTCCAGGCCTGATACACGTAGCATGGAAAGCAAAATAGTCTAGTCTAATCTTGACGTTGCATCACATTATGGCCAGAAGATTTCAGACATCTATAGTCAACTACTAATAAAACCGACATACAGTGATTGCCATTGAGGTTGTAAAATTAACTTTCAGAAGAGGTCAAGTGTATTTGGTACATAAATACACCAATAAAACACTATAGTTTGTGAGGCCTAGCCCTAGATTTTGTTGAAAGAGAATAGGCCGCCTACCCTGAATTCCAGTCTGCTTGTGCTATCGTGCCAACTCCTTGTCGGTCATTGTCAACATGTTCAACATGTTGTATAAACAGATCTGGGACCAGGCTATAGACTGCCTACTGTAAGATGAATTAACTCTCACCTACATTTTCCACATCAGGCTCAGCTGAAGAAGACAGCGATCGATGTACAGCAGATGATCCAGGAAAGACTGAAGAAGGTGGAGGAGATCAAACATTCAGTGGAGCTGAATATAGTGAGTTATTTGGCTGCGACGAAAATGGCACCCTATTCCCTACATTGCGCACAACTTTTGACAATACGGGCCCTGGTCAAAAGCAGTACACTACAGTATATAGGAAACAGGGGTCATATACATGCTCCAGTTGTCAAGTTGACAGTTGTGATTTGTACTGTACAAGAGATTAAATCATATACAGGGTTAAAGGGATACTTCGGGAATTTGGCCAAAAATACAGTCAGATGAAGAGTCCGAGTCAGAGGAACTCGTGGATACCGTTTGTATGTCGAATATGAAGGAAGTTAGAGGTACCGTAGTTTCGTGAGCCAATGCTGACTAGCGTTAGCTCATTACGCTAACGCTCGTTAGCAATTGAACTAGTTGGCCACTTCCTTCAAACTGCACGCAGACATAAAATGGTATCCACATGTTCATCTGACTGGGGAAGTAGATAAAGGGCCTCGGTGCCAAAATCCTGAAGTATCCCTTTAACAACCAGGGTTAACATAATACACTGATGGATTCTAGGATATAATTTTGCTTTGAACATCGGCCCAATGTGGGGAGCAGGGTTGACACAATACATGGATGTTGGATTTTGTAGGGTAGATCCGTCTTTTAGCTTCAAAGTATTTTCCTAACTTTATCGAGATGTAGAAAAACACACAATCTAAATGTATCCTTCTCAGGCAACCTAATGGTCATCTGACAGAAGGTGTGGATCTCAGCCATAAAGGCAAAAGAGTCTGTGGGCGGCTGCATCCCAAACGGCACCCTATTCCCTATGTTGTGCACTACTTTTCACCAGGGCCCTGGTTGAAAGTAGTGCACTTATTAGGGAGTAGGGTGTCATTTGGTATGCACCCTGGACCTCTTGGCAGGGTTGTAGAGTGTTAACCTTATTGATGTGCTTACTACAGGACATTAGACAGAATGGAATACTACTACTGCTGCTCAAGAAATTGTGAATGTCATGGATACATTAGAACTAGTAGATATATGGAGGCTTAAATATCCTAATCTAGTGAGATATGCATGGCGGAGACTCAATCAAGCTAGTCGTCTTGACTCCTTTCTTATGTCATTCTCGTTGGCACCAAAAGTTTAAAAAGTGTTGATAGGGGACAGAATGCGGTCGGACCATCATATAATTGGCATATACATTACTCTTAATGAATTTCCACGTGGAAATGTAATGAAAGCCTTTTGGATGAAATCTTGTTTTTTAACTAGGACAGAGGAATTTATAACTGTTTTTTTCCGACATAACATGGGTACAGCAAATCCCCTTATTGTATAGGACACCTTTTAAATTTGCCTTTAGAGGCCATGCAATTCAGTACTCATCTCGAAAACAAAAGCAATTTAGGTCAAAAGAGTCCATACTAACAAAGGAAATAGAAGGTCTAACAGAACAGATAGATAGCAATAAAAAATGTAACATAGAGGCTCAGAATAAATTAGAGGAAAAACAAAAAGAAATGGAGAAACTTATTCAAGAAAGATCAAGTGTAATATATTATAAAAAATTAAACAAACTGAATGGAATATGGGGAAAAATGCACCAAATTATTTTTTTATCTTCAACATAGGAATGCTACCAAAAAAGGATTTACTGAAACTGGTTGCAAATGACTGAGTCACCCATGATTCACCAAATGATATTTTGAAGGAGGAAACAAAGTACTTTAAGCATATATTTTCGTTTCAGTCACCTCCATCTCCTCTAACTGAAGCTAATTGTAGAGATTTTTTTTCTATTGATAATGTAAAATTAACAGCCATACAGAAAGACTCATTTGTGAAGGTGCAATTACAGAGGAGGAACTTCTGGATGCAATTAAATACTCTAAGTCCGGGAAAACTCCAGGGTTGGATGGCATACCAGTCTACTATTCATAGCAGACTTCGAAAAGGCATTTGATAAAGTATGACTGCGGTTTATATACAGTGGGGAGAACAAGTATTTGATGCACTGCCTATTTTGCAGGTTTTCCTACTTACAAAGCATGTAGAGGTCTGTAATTTTTATCATAGGTACACTTCAACTGAGAGAGACGGAATCTAAAACAAAAATCCAGAAAAACACATTGTATGAATTTTAAGTAATTAATTTGCATTTTATTGCATGACATAAGTATTTGATTCATCAGAAAAGCAGAAATTAATATTTGGTACAGAAACCTTTGTTTGCAATTACAGAGATCATACGTTTCGTGTAGGTTTTGACCAGGTTTGCACACACTAGCAGCAGGGATTTTGGCCCACACATCCATACAGACCTTCTCCAGATCCTTCAGGTTTTGGGGCGGTCGCTGGGCAATACGGACTTTCAGCTCCCTCCAAAGATTTTCTATTGGGTTCAGGTCTGGAGACTGGCTAGGCCACTCCAAGACCTTGAGATGCTTCTTACGGAGCCACTCCTTATTTGCCCTGGCTGTGTGTTTCGGGTCGTTGTCATGCTGGAAGACTCAGCCACGACCCATCTTCAATGCTCTTACTGAGGGAAGGAGGTTGTTGGCCAAGATCTCGCGATACATGGCCCCATCCATCCTCCCCTCAATACGGTGCAGTCGTCCTGTCCCATTTGCAGAAAAGCATCCCCAAAGAATGATGTTTCCACCTCCATGCTTCACGGTTGGGATGGTGTTCTTGGGGTTGTACTCATCCTTCTTCTTCCTCCAAACACGGCGAGTGGAGTTTAGACCAAAAAGCTCTAATTTTGTCTCATCAGACCACATGACCTTCTCCCATTCCTCCTCTGGATCATCCAGATGGTCATTGGTAAACTTCAGACGGGCCTGGACATGCGCTGGCTTGAGCAATGTGACCTTGCGTGCGCTGCAGGATTTTAATCCATGACGGCGTAGTGTGTTACTAATGGTTTTCTTTGAGACTGTGGTCCCAGCTCTCTTCAGGTCATTGACCAGGTCCTGCCGTGTAGTTCTGGGCTGATCCCTCACCTTCCTCATGATCATTGATGCCCCACGAGGTGAGGTCTTGCATGGAGCCCCAGACCGAGGGTGATTGACTGTCATCTTGAACTTCTTCCATTTTCTAATAATTGCGCCAACAGTTGTTGCCTTCTCACCAAGCTGCTTGCCTATTGTCCTGTAGCCCATCCCAGCCTTGTGCAGGTCTACAATTTAATCTCTGATGTCCTTACACAGCTCTCTGGTCTTGGCCATTGTGGAGAGGTTGGAGTCTGTTTGATTAAGTGTATGGAAAGGTGAATTTTATACAGGTAACGAGTTCAAACAGGTGCAGTTAATACAGGTAATGAGTGGAGAACAGGAGGGCTTCTGAAAGAAAAACAAACAGGTCTGTGAGAGCCGGAATTCTTACTGGTTGGTAGGTGATCAAATACTTATGTCATGCAATAAAATGCAAATTAATTACTTAAAAATCGTACAATGTGATTTTCTGGATTCTTGTTTTAGATTCCGTCTCTCACAGTTGAAGTGTACCTATGATAAAAATGACAGACCTCTACATGCTTTGTAAGTAGGAAAACCTGCAAAATCGGCAGTGTATCAAATACTTGTTCTCCCCACTTTAAATACCTGTCAATTTATGGAAAAATCACCCTGATTAACTCTTTAGTATTATCCCAGTTTACCTATTTGCTTATGGTTTTGCCTACGCCTAGCAAACAGTTTTTTTAAATTATTATGAGAAAGAAATATTCCATTTTATTTGGAACGGCAAGCCAGACAAAATTAAACAGGCCTATTTTATATAA